GTTTAGCCAGTTGATAGGGCTGGGACAAAGGCTGGACTCGATGATCTTTAAGGTCTCTTCCAGCTGAAACTATTCTATGATTCACTGATTCTAAGGTGTCTGGTCCTTTCCCCCTCATTGACCTATGGGCTTGGCAGGTTTTCTTTCCCCCGTTTTTTTTTTTTTCCTGGCAGGGCTGCACCCACCACTTGCCAAACCCTTGATCCCAGCTCACATCCCTACCAGATCCCTCTCACACACTCAAAGCCAGGCTCAAGGTGGCTCCAGGCAGCATCAAGGGCACAACTACACAGAAAAACTTCGCTAATGAGAGATGAGGCTTTTATTAGAAGAGATGTCTTCTGTCCCAGTCCCTTGAGAATTCAGCAGTATTCAAGAATAATTCTTGAGGCTTGGAGGAGTCCTCCAAGGTCTCGTGCCAGCCAGGTGTGAGACCTCAGCAGGTGGGGATAGCAACAGGGATGGGGTTAGCTCGAGGGGTCCTGGTCTGTGGTCTTGAGGTAATCCTGCATACTTCTGGCAAGAGATCCGCCATGTGGGAATGTCGCCTGCCTCAGACACCAGGCCAGGTACAGAGGGAAGGGCCTGAAAGAGAAGGGAGCACTGCAGCAGCAAGCACTGCGGCATTCCCTCGCCACCATCCGACTGGGAAGCCAGCTCCCCATGTGCTATGCAGGGCCCCCGGCTCTACCCCCGGCCTCTGCCTACCTCCCCCTCTGGCTCCGTGTCAGCCCCCGTGAATCCCCAGAGAGCCACAGCGTGTGTGTGGTCTCTCAGAGCAGATGCAGAGGGAGAAAATCCATGGACACATCAGAGCTGCAGGCACAGGCTGAGCTAAACTGCCCACGCGGCTTGAAACATGGGCTGCACTGCTGGAGCTCCCACCCATGGGTAGCCAGCCAAGATTCCACACACCCCTCCACCAACCTTCCCTGCCCTTCTTCCTCTGGGGGGCTCTGGGGGAGCTTCTGCCAGCGAGCAGCTGCCTCCTGCTTTCGGTTCAGGTTCCACAAGGCCTCCACCAGGTAGGACGCAGCATCTGGGTCACCTGCAAGACACAACAAGGGGTTCAGCCCTTAGCAGGGGAGTAGCAGGGCCTCAGGGCTGCTGCGGTTTGCAGAGTGTTGCAAAAGCAGCTTAGAAGCCAGACAGAAGAGTTGAGTGTGAGGAGAGGTGGTGTAAGGGGGAGGAGACCGTCTCGACCGTGTCACAGGCTCTAATTAACCCAGCCAAGGCAGATGGCATCAGCCCCACGGCACAGCCAGCCACACCTCTGTTTGGGACACAGGCTGGGATTTTCCCTGCAGGCAGGTCTGCACCCTCAGAGGGAGGGAGCCAGTCAGGACTGGGCCCGGCTGGTTTGGCAGATCTCTGGTAAAGCTCACACCCCTGCAGTGTGTCAACAGGGCTGGAGCACTGAACAGGGGAGGTCACCCAGAGAGTTGCCCTAGCCATGCCTTGGCTGTGCTCAGGACACATATGGCTCCCCGCCTCAT